TGCGGTGAGTTTGTGCAGCATGAGGAAACATAAAGGATATCACGGACAAGTTTTGTTCTCTTTTTATCTTTCCTTGCTTGGCGGATCACTGGGTAAAGCTTCTTCCTTCTCTCTTCTATTTCCTGTGGGAACTGTTCATTTACCCATACTTTTGTTCCGCTAAGTCTCCGTGCGGCATTGGTCCGAATGAATTCCCGGTCCTTGAAGAAGCTGAACTTTGCCACTATATTTCGTGGGTATTCGTTGAACTCACTCCACTTGCCAACCCTATGGACTCGTTCGAATGATATATCATAATCTAATCTGAATCTCCTTTGTATGAAATCCTGTAGCAGCCTCTCTGTGTCTTCCCATGCATGCTCTGGAATACCCGAGAACACAAGATTATCTCTCATAGATCTTGCCTGGAGATCAGTCTGAACTTTGCAATTTCTCATTAGCCTCTCTGATTGTTTCCAGTTCATCATTCACTTTATTATCTGTAAGTTTCTGCATCTGTATACACTGGTCTAGGCTCTTTCTGTTGTTATTTATCACTGTTCTATTTGCCTCCGTTGACTCCTTTACCGAATCGAACACCTTTCCTAATCCACTCACATTAGATTCTAGACTTTGGAAATCGGTCTTGATCATCCTTACATCATCATCCAGTCTGCTTACGTGCAATTTCACAGAGTCGATGGATCCTCGAATCTTTCTCAAAGACACCATTTCGGCCTCAATTGCTGTTAATCTATTTTCCAGTTGTTCATTTTTCAATTCAATGTTTGTAAGTTTTGAATTCATTTGCACTAAGAGGGAATGTATTGATGTCAAGGACACTTCACTCTTCACGTTTTCACTACTTGTTTCATTGCCATATATAATGGAGTGACTTTCTGCTAAAAGCTCTGTAGTATCAGATACAGACATTCTCAATTTGAATGAAAAACAAAAAATCCAGAAGGTATCACAATTCTAGCCACTTCAGTTACTTACACCGTTATTTCAATTTCTTACCCTACATTATAGGGTGAGCTGATCTCACGGGTGAACACAAACACATACTCCGAACAAAGAAAGTTTGTAATAACGCAAAAACAGCCAAATCATTGGCAAAATTAATCAAACTATATCACTAAAACCACATTATTCAATATTCACTTACTCGATCCTCTTCAAAACATTTTGGAAACAGTATTTTTCAATTTTTTCACCGGAGCCCAAAACAACAGCACTTACCGGCTCGGTGACCTCTGACCTTCTTCTCCTATTGGGGTTTCCGATGACAAAAAATCGACTTTGCCATTTTACTCATATATGGGAGCGGGGGTATCATTTTGAAAGCTCAGTGCTTTTTTTTTTTTTTTTAAATTAACATTTTAATTTAATATGAGTATTTGCGTAATAATTTGAATTGCTGTGAACAGAACAGAGAGTGTTCATTTATATTTTTAAAAATGAAAGGTTAGTTGCAGAGAAGACATTTTAACGATTGTAATTACACATGCACAGCAAATGTATAAAGTATCTGTAATTGTCCTCGTATGCTCATTTACCATAAAAAAGTTTTCATTTACCAAAAACCCGATTTGCCATATTTTAATACTACAAAACGGGTTTTGTCATTTATCATAAACACAAGTGTTCTCGGTTAATATAAGAACTAGATATGATCTCTTGTAGCATTAGTACAATTCTCCTCTTTAATCATTAGCACAGTTGTACTCATTCACCATAATTATAATTTTCCCTATTCACCATTAGCACAGTTGTACTCATTCACCATAATTATAATTTTCCCTATTCACCATTAGCACAGTTGTACTCATTCACCATAATTATAATTTTCCCTATTCACCATTAGCACAATTGTTCTCATTCACCATAAGTATAATTTTCCCCATTCACCACTAGCACAATTGTTATTATTCACCATAAGTATAATTTCCCCATTCACCATGAGCACAATTGTCCTCTTTCACCATAAGTATAATTTTCCCATTCACCATTACCACAATTAATTGTTCTCATTCACCATAAGTATAATTTCCCCATTCACTATGAGCACAATTGTCCCCTTTCACCATAAGTATAATTTTCCCCATTCAACATGAGCACAATTGTTCTCATTCACCATAAGTATAATTTTCCCCATTCACCATTAGCACAATTGTTGTCATTCACCATAAGTAAAATTTTCCCCATTCACCATTAGCACAATTGTTCTCATTCACCATAACTATAATTTCCCCATTCACCATTAGCACAATTGTCCTCATTCAGCATAAGCACAGTTGTCCTCAATCATCATAATTATTAAGAACCAGTGGCTTCATTTACTATCTGCACGATTGTATACCTATTTACCGTAAACACGTATCTTTGGTCCGCATTAACGACAAGCACATTTTTTCTTTTCGCGCCCCCCCCCCCCTAAAATTGTCAAAGTTAGCGAAAATCATAGTTTCATCGAGAAAATGTAAAAATTTCTACTTGGTAGACCTTATTTTTACCCTACAAAATCTCTAGAATCCAGGAGCTTCCGGGGGCTTCGCCCCCCGGACCCCCACCAGGGCTTTGCCCTGGACCCACTGGGGGCCTCAGGGCGGCCCCCAGACCACCTGCCTAGTGTTGGCGCCCCCTCTAACTTCAAATCCTGGATCCGCGCCTGATATCTGTACAATTTTCTCATTACTATAAGAAGTAAAATCCTAATAAATTTTTCATTATGTAAAATGTTATTCATTACCATATATGTGCACAATTAAATGTATTTTCATTTACCTAGAGCACAGTTGGTGTACCTATATATCATAAACACATAAGTACTCATTCATCCTATATACAAGTTATTTTCTATCAGCAACATTTACTTTAAAGGCCGAGATTTTTAACCGTACGGCTTTCCTGGGTAAGGGGAGGGGACTTGATTTTACATGAGGGGTTCCCCAAGGCATTGTCATGCAGACCGTGCAGAGCGCTAATCACTATACACTGCTATATATATACATCAACGGTATACACAGGAAGTCAATGAGTATTACCTGTACAGCTTGTTTGGCCTACATTTCATCCAAGATAAAATTATTAGATCTCTACATCGATAGAAAATACCATTAGTAATGACTAATATTTGAAAAATTCCATAATTTCATACAGTCTAATTTAATATCAAACAATCAAACAATTCATCCTTGCCTGTCCCTTTCAAACTTAAAAAAAATATTGTCGTAAATATCGTAGCATTTGAGCTTCGATCACGGTCAATATGAATGCATGGAACAGTTACTTCCCGTTTGTATGAATTATAAGTCGCCGTAGTCCTATTTTTAGCAAATGTATCCTGTGGTGAAAAATTCGAGAACGATGCTGATAAATATATATATTTCAGTAAATTTAGAATATGGAACAATTTTAAACGAAACATATATTTATAGTCCCCTACCGGTGAAACCGGAGGGGACTATAGGTTTCCTATGAGTCTGTCCGTCCGTCTGTCTGTCTGTCTGTCCGTCTGTCTGTCTGTCCCTCTGTCTGTCCGTCCCTCTGTCTGTCTGTCAGTCTGTCCCACTTGGTCTTCCGCACTTTTTTCTAAACGCTTGCAGATATTGAGCTGATTTTTGGTAGGTGAGTGTATCTTGATGAGTCTCAGATCAAGTTCGCATTTCGTTCCGCTTCATTGATTTTTGACGGAATTCCGACCTTTTTCAATTTTTTAGGGTTTTTTCGCAATTTTCTTCTAAAAGCTTTCAGATATTGAGCTGATATTTGGTATGTGACTTTACCTTGATTAGTTATAGATCAAGTTTGCATTTCGCCCCGCTTCATTGATTTTTGACGGAATTATGGCATTTTCAATTTTTAACCGCAACCAGATTACACTTGCCGGTAGGGGACTAGTATTGCTAATGCAATACTTTCAGAATGCTTGTTTTGTTAACATTTCTTTAAGGACAGATGATAAACACACACGAAAAAAAAAATGGATGCCTGGATTGGTATATATTTTTGGACTATTTTTGATGTAAATGATGAAAATTGCAAATTTCTAAAATATGAAGAAATTGTTAACTTTCTATGATGTTCAAAATTCTACTGTTCTGCAATCACCCTTATAAACCTTTTCAATATTTAACACTCTATTGGACCTTATTGTGAAATTTTGAATGAAAAATTGAAATCCACTCGATTAAATTAATTTAATTTATTTAAGTAAACCTGCCTAAAGTTGCAAATTTCATGGTTTTTGAAAAAAAAATGTTTGTATCATCTGTCCTTAAAAAAATAAAATATTTTAACACCTCGGTAAGGAGGTACATGTGACAATTTAACCTACGTAGCAAGAAATGTTGGGTATAAAAAAGAAGAAACCGTTTGTCACTGAACAAACATTTTGCTTTCTGCCTCGATATCCATTATACACAAAAGGCTTTGTCTTAACAGCTTTTTTTCCTTCTCTATTTTCCTCGTAATTTTTTCGCCATGTCTCAAAAAAATCTTCTATTAATTATATTGAATTTTGAATCAAAATTTACTTGTTAAAAAGTTATGTTCACAGGCATGATTTATTTTACTAAATTATTATGAGATTTTTTTTTTTTTGGGGGGGGGGGATGTGTTTGTACTACAGATAATTATAAACAAGCTAAAAATTTTTGCATCGATAGGAGAAGGTGAAGGTCATTCGAAGCGGTAAGTCGTCTATCAAGAGGCTCCGACAAAAACATCAAAGTAACTTCATATTTTTGAGATTGAGAGGGCATAGTTATTGTGTTAATCCATAAGAGAGTCTATTTGATCTATCTGATCACTTTGCATTGTATTTTAATGCTCCGAAATGGTGATTTTGATGATTATGTGGTGTTTTCCCGTAGAACGAGTGTAAGAATTCATGAGAACAACTCACGTTTCTTAATGACAATAGTTATGAACTGCTGATTTATTCTGCGTCAACATCTTATTACTCTTTTAATATTACATTAGAGTATTGGACTACAGTATTATACTCATTATTTGCAATGTCTGCGACTGAAACTTCAGAGATCCTGGCACAGAGCCGTACTGTACTTTTTGGGCAATCTAATGAGGGCGAAATCTCACTGTCAACCATTCATACATTACTTACTCAGATGGATTCAAAACTATCGAATATTGAAGTAAAAAATGAAAGGTTTGAGACACGATTGTGTGAAATTGAAAAAAGAATGACCTCATTAGAGACTATACAGACATCAATAAGTGAACTTAAATCATCCTCTTCAAAGCTTGATACTGATGTGAAAAAGATTAGAAATGATTTTGGACAGCTTGAAACTAATGTGAGCGCATTAGGTAATGTGTTTGACTCGGTGAAAGAAACAGCAGACAAAAATAAAAAGACCGTTGATTATGTCAAGAAAAACCTGGACGAGTATACAGTTACTCAGAAAACATTAGAAGAAAAATTGACATCAGAAGTCCAAGCGTTAAAAGAAGCCAAGGAAAGACTAGAAGAATCTGTGACGGATCTCAAAGCCAGATCAATGCGGGATAACTTGGTATTCTCAGGGATCCCAGAGGACCAGGATGAGGATACAGAGGCTGTGATTCAGAACTTAATACGTCGGAGATTCAGGCTTGATTATGACATTCCTTTCGAGCGAGTGCACAGAATGGGCAGAGCAAATGAATTCAGCGAGTGGCCTAGAAATATAGTAGCCAAATTTACCTACTATAAGGATAGGGAGTACATCCGGCAAAATGCAGCCCGAAGATTACATGGAACGAATGTGTGGGTGAATGAACAATTTCCCCAAGAGATCGAGAATAGGAGAAAAAAACTGTATCCAGTCATGCGCCAAGCAAAACTCGACCACAAACGTGTAAGCTAGTTCGAGACACTCTCTTCATAAATGGAGTTAAATACATCGCACCTCCTGAATCCGCCCCAGTGACTCAGAGTTACGCAAGAGTAGCACAACAAGAGCAAGGAGCTCCAACCCAGACGCCTAGACGGGATAACAAAAGAGCCCGGTATGGATCATCTCCGGATCATAACAGACAATAGGATCGCGCGGAGGAACAGACCCAGCGCCGTAAGGCTCAATTTGCAAATAATGTAAAAATTTTGTCATTAAATGTATGTGGGATAAAAAACAGACTGAATTATAGGGAATTTGTTGATTTCATCTCAAAATATGATATAATTGGATTAACAGAAACTAAAACTGATAATTCTGATAAAATACAAATACCTGGATTTGTTACTTATATGAAAAATAGACGTAAACTTTCCAATACCCGATCTGGGGGGATTATTGTAGCTATTAAAGATACTGTTGTGAAATATGTTAGCATGATAAATACAGATTGTAAATATGTTATGTGGTTCAAGATAAACAAAATTTTATTTAATACTACTAAAGATATAATTTGCGGAGTTGTCTATATACCTCCAGAAGGAAGTAGATATTCTTCCCCTGATTGTTTCATAGAAATTGAACAAGAGTTCCTCAACTTTAATAAAGATTCAAATTATTTTTGTATGCTTGGTGACTTTAATGCCAGAGTAGGCAATATGAATGATTTTTTCACAGCTGATGAATTTGTATTGAACCAAAACAATTGTAATGAAAACATGTATACTGATATTTTAACAAGATCCACGATATTTGAAAAATGTAATATACCATTAGAAAGAACTGTTAAAGACACCACGGTAAATAACTATGGGCATAAATTGATTGATTTTTGTAGGAATAATGAAATGTATATTGCAAATAGTCGTGTAGGCAACGACAAACTTAAGGGAGATTTAACTTGTAAAAATAGCAGCACTGTAGATTATGTTTTAGCCAGTGTGCATATTTTTGATTTGTTTAGTGATTTTGATGTTGTCGAATTTTGTAACCTATATTCTGATGTACATAATGCCTTATCAGTATCTTTATCTAGTTGTAAGACTGTTATTTCAAACGACACAGGTGTAAATCACTCAGGTGTAAAATTATGGTGTCCTAACAAATCAGTGGAGTTCTGTGGTAATATTGAAACACTTGCTGTAAATAACATTGAAAGTAAACTTGATGATTTAGGCGGTGATAATACTCATGTAACAAAGGAAAATATCAATCTTGTAACACGCGATATATGTGACGTGTTCTTTAGTGCGGCAAAAGAAACATTTGGGTACCATAAAGATAGAAGGGCTGGGGTTGAAAATAATTGTAATAAGCAATGGTTTAATCGGGACTGTAGAAACGCTAGAAAAAAGTTTCATCTCGCTAAACGTATGTATAATCGAAATAAATCGACCGAAAACAAGCGTAATTTGAATGCTATGAGTAAAATATATAAGAAAACAATGGATGAGAGCATAAAAAATAATAGAAAGAATATTGCCAAAAAACTCAAAGATTTGCATTCTACACATCCCAAAGATTATTGGAAAATTTTGAAAGCATCCGATAAAAATAAGAAATGTGCTGTTGATATAAATGACATGTATAATTTTTTGAAAGATATGAATGAAGATAAAAATTGTAATGTTGTTCCTGATAACTTAGATGAACAGGAAGATGTAGCGAATTTTTCAAATGATTTTTCAGTTGATATCCTAAACTGTGCTATCAGTGATGAAGAAATACTGAACAGTGTCAAAAAGCTTAAAAATAGCAAAGCATGTGGTTTTGACAAAGTGTTTAATGAACATATTACTTCAACAATTACTATATTTTTACCCGTATATAGAAAACTGTTCAATTTAATATTTGATTCAGGTACCGTCCCGGATGAATGGTTAATTGGCATTGTTAAACCTATTTATAAAAATAAAGGTGATCCAACACAACCAGAAAATTATCGACCCATAACATTATTGAGCTGCTTAGGAAAATTATTTACAAGTATTTTATGCACACGTTTGGAAACATTTGCTGAAAAAGTAAACTTAATTAATGAGAGTCAAACAGGATTTAGAAAAGGGTACTCAACTTTAGATCATATAGTTACCTTACAGTTTTTATGTCAGATTTTTTTTCAAAGAAAGAAAAAATTTTTCTGCGCTTTCATTGACTTTAAACAAGCCTTTGATACGGTTTGGAGATCTGGATTGTGGCATAAGCTATTTAAGAGTGGGGTTAGTGGAAAATGTTTTAACTACATCAAAAATATGTATATAGGAATTAAATCTATGATAAATCTGAATGGCACAATCACAGATTATTTTAACTGTAATGTTGGTGTTCGCCAAGGTGAAAATCTATCGCCTTTTTTATTTTCCTTATATATTAATGACATGGAAGAGTTTCTCTCGGACAGAAATATTATTGGTTTACAAAGCATAACTGACGCTATTGAAGAAGAATTATATGTGTATCTTAAGCTTTTCATTTTGTTATATGCAGACGATACTGTTATCTTGGCTGAAACAGATGTAGATCTGCAAAAGGCTTTGGATGATTTTTATTTGTATTGTTCACAATGGAAACTTAATGTTAATATTAGTAAGACAGAAATTCTAGTGTTTTCTAAAGGACCAATGTCAAAAAAGGTATTTTATTATAATAATAATGCAATTGGAAATGTAAAAGAATTCAAGTATCTTGGGATAATATTTTCACGCTCAGGTTCATTTTGTAAGGCCAAAAAACATTTATGTGAACAAGCACAGAAAGCAATGTATGGTGTTATAAGGAAGATAAGACAATTTAACTTACCAATTGAATGTCAGTTAGATCTTTTTGATAAAGTTGTTGTTCCAATTTTGACTTATGGCTGTGAAATTTGGGGTTATGAAAATCTCGACATCATTGAACGTGTACATTTAAAATTTTTAAAACATATTTTCCATTTAAAGAGTAGTACGCCCTCGTATATGGTGTATGGGGAGACTGGGCGATTCCCATTGTATATTAATATTTATACAAGATTGATCTCCTACTGGTTAAAATTACTTACCCCGAATTCTTTAGAAAACAAAATAGTTTGTGTTTTGTATAAATATCTATGTTCTCAATATTTTCAAGGAGGTCCAAAAAACCTATGGGTAGATTTCATTTATAAAATTTTAACCTCTTGTGGGTTCTCCAACATTTGGTATGAACAAAGTCCCATTGACAGGAATTGGGTACTTGCAGCAGTGAAGCAAAGATTAAGCGACCAATTTATTCAAAAATGGCATAGTGATATAAATAATTCATCAAAAGGTCAAATTTACAAAATTTTTAAGAGTGATTTTGGATTTGAAAAATATCTAAGTATTTTACCTAGTAAACTCCAAAAAATACTAATAAAATTTAGAACTTCAAACCACCACCTCCCAATTGAGACTGGTAGATGGTTAAATATTCCACTGGATGAAAGAGTTTGTAAATTGTGTAATACAGGGCAAATAGCAGACGAATATCATTTCATCCTAGAATGTAAAACATTGAACAGCATCAGAAAGAATCTTTTACATCCCAGATTTTGTAAAACGCCGAATACACTTAAGTTTTCTGAAATTATGTCAACGACAAACTTAAAAACTTTAAAAAACCTTTGTATATTTATATCTAAAATAAACGACACCGTCTGTCCTCCATAATTTAAATGTTATCATACCATTTTTTTTTCTTCTTTTCTTCTTTCATTGTATGTTTATTGCTATACTATGTACATATGTATATGCCCCTCATTTATGCTATTGTATCATAATTAAATTTATTATTTTTGTCACAATTATGACGACTAATTTATTGTACCTCATGTACCACTGATGTTGGTGTGAGTGAATAAAATGAAATGAAAAATGAAATGAAAATGATACGGCCTCTTTAGTGCGCAGTTATATATGCTGCAAACATTAAAAGATCGAAAGTTAATGTCATGATGTGCAAGTTGTACACGAACTAGTAGCTTGGCGAAAGTGTTCATTTACCAAAATTATACAGAATTGTTCAAGTTATTTAAAATATGCACTAACATCTCCTTTGAATGATGGTAAGTACCGAAATAACAAAATATCCAAAATAATTTTCTCTGACACATAAAATTACATATTTCAAAGAAAGTTTTCCCTTTAAACATTACAGTATTTTACATTTCTTGAATATCAATAATTTCAGTCCAGCCCGTTGACCCTAATGGAAACAACTGGGTCGTTAATACCGATTACAACAACTTCGCCGTTGTTTACTCCTACAGACAAGAAGGACGGAGTAAATCCGGTAAGTGTGATTGACTTTGTTTTGTCCAGAGTTGTCATTCTTCTCACTGAGATAATATAGTTTGAAGTTGCATAAACCCTTAAAACATGCGCAGCTAAAATGGAATTTTAGGAGTCTGCGAAGAGGAAATGGACTTTATCTAAGATAAAATATGCAGTATAAAACTCAGTTTCAAAGTGACAATTAAATTCCTTAAGTTCCTATAAAGCTGTAATGCAATATCGTTTCAGTGAGAACGACAACTCAGGATAGACATTGACTTAAATAGTCACTGAATTTTGGCCAGTCTTGTTGTTGCCAACTGACCAAGCATGCCAACAAATAACTCTGAATTATAAAGTGCCTTGATTTGATACAAGTTGATGAAATGAATTACAGAAAATGCCTACATTCTCCTACGAGAGCCGAGGAATCCCGATGTTAGAACATTGAGGTCAATCTACAATTTTCTTAGAAGTTATAGAATAAACCCGAGGAACTTCATCCGAACAGACTTCCGACAGTGTCTATAGCCTTATCCTTACATGTACTTATGCAACAAATAATTTAAAAATAGTTAAAATCTGAAAGAAATTCAAATCAGTAATCTGTATATATCATTGCAAATTGAACAAACTTGTAAACATAAAGATGTGTTATTTTCCTTTGAATGATCAAATATATATTTAAAAAAAAAATTCTGG